GCATGAATCCATGCACCAGGCCTCTAGTATATATATATTTTAGAGAGGTAGGGAGAGGGAAAGAGATAGAAAGATCAATTTTGAGAGGGAATCATTGATTGGATGCCTCCTGCATGCCCCCTACTGTTTATCGAGCCCACAACCCCAGGCATGTGCCCTTGACTGGAATCAAACCCAGGACTCTTCAGTCCACAGGCCAATGCTCTATCAACTCAGCCAAACCAGCTAGAGCAGCACAAGACCTTTTTAGGGAACAAAGTCTAGTTTAGGTGGAGCATAGAGCATTTGGTAGTGAGTTGGAGGGAGTGGACTGGAAAGGCAGGTTGTGGCTAGAGCTTTGTAATTATTTTTCTTTATTTGAATATATTTTTATTGATTTCAGAGAGGAAGGGAGAAGGAGAGAGATTTAGAAACATCAATGATGAGAGAGAATCATTGATTGGCTGCCTTTTGCATGCCCCCTCTTGAGGATCGAGCCTGCAATCCAGGCATGTGCCCTTGACTGGAATCGAACCCAGGACCCTTCAGTCCTCAGGCTGACGCTCTTTCCACTGAGCAAAACTGGCCAGGGCATGGCTGGAGCTTTGAATCCAGGCTGAGGACTCTAGGTTGAGGACTCTAACCTTGGTGTCTGCCATAGTAATGAAAAAACCTTCTCTTCCAGAATGGTGGGCTAAGCCATGGGGCCCAGTAGCCTCCAGAAAGCTCCTCTCTATAAGGAAGAAGAAATTGGGGTGGAGTCAGGCTCTTATTTTGTTAATCCTCACTGGAGGATATTTTTTCCATTGATTTATTTCTAGAGAAAGTGGAAGGGATGGAGGAGGGGGCAAGAGAGAGAGAAACATCGACTCGAGAGAGACACATCGATTCATTGCCTCCTGCACCTGCCCCTACTGGGGCTGGGGAACCAGCAACCCAGGTACCTGACCTTGACTAGGAATTGAAACCATGACCCTTTGGTCTGTAGGCCGAGGCTCCAACCACTGAGCAAAACTGGCCAGGGCTGGAGTGAACTCTTGATTTTAGGACCAAGTTCATGCTGAGTATGTAACAAAGCTATTTCACTCAAAGTAGCCCTTGGGGAGATGATTCTCTCAAGTATAAACATCCATGAGGATGAGCTCTCTTCTGCATGGTTTTTCTGCTAAGAGCTGAATGACCGGAACTGTTTAAAAAACCCTAACCAAGACCTAGCCGGTTTGGCTCAGTGGATAGATCATGGGCCTTTGGACTGAATGGTCCCAGGATCCATTTTGGTCAAGGGCACAAGCCCTGGTTGCAGGCTCGATCCCCAGTAGGGGGCGTGCAGGAGGCAGCCAATCAATGATCCTCTCTCATCATTGATTTTTCTATCTCTCCCTCCCCCTTCCTCTCTGAAATCAATAAAAATATATTTAAAAATAAATAAATAAATAACCCTAATCAAGAGCTGCTTCAAAAGGGTGAGCTGTCAGAACAGGGGTTGGTATGGCTAGCTTTTCAAATATAGATACTATCTGGTGGTATGATTTTTCTGGTTTATTACTTTGCCATTAAATCGCATTATAATTGTTGGTGGGTTGTCTAGTGCACTCTAAAGAATATAGGCAAGGACTTCCTTATTTTCTACAAATGTACAACTGCCCTCAACACCTTTACACCACTGCCACCAAGATTGGCTGTGGGGAAATTCATTATTTTGCTGGAAGAGAGATTTGGGGGAGATGTAGGAGATCAGATCTTTGCTGAGCCAATTTTAAAAATTTTTCTTTGCCAGCTACAGTTTCAGACATTTTCATATACACTATCTCATTTGACTCTCACAACACTCTTTGGATGTAAGTACAGTTTTCTCCCTTTTGTAAATGAGGAAATAGGTATTGAGATAGGCTAACTTACCTCAAATCCTGTAGCTAAAAGGAGCTACATTTTAATGCAGGTTGTTGTTTTTTGCCAAATTTTCTTTTTTTGTTTGCCACATTCTCCCCCCGCCCCCCACCTCCCACTTTTATAGAAAATTAATGTTATTTACCTGGATTTGGGTTGCTAGAGACCACGGACATCAGCACTAATGGCAGCAACAGGAGAAAAGAGATTAGAACTTTCATTGTGACCGTTGGTGCTACTGTAAATTGCTTGAAGAGAGTGTGGAAGGTTCCCAGTTAGAGGCTCCGGACTTCTTGGGATGACTCAGGCCGCTGTACTTGGCTTGTTGGTTTGTGCTTTAATCCTAGGCCAGTGTTCCCATTTGAGGAGGAGAACAGGTAAGTGACGCTGGCTTTGTTAGGTAACAGGTTAGAGTAGACCATGTGCTTTACGGGAATCTGGGAGGTAAAACTGGCCAAACAAAAGACATGAAGCATTCTTAAGAATTTAAGAAGTAACTGATAACTTGGCAACTATACTTGTTCCCTCCCCTCTCCCTCCCACCTCCAATGTGTTATGATTTCTTCCTTAAGTCTTTTTGTTCCTTTGAACTTCCTTATACCTTTCAGAGACTCTACTAGCTTAATATCTGGTAGGAAAGTGAGTATGCAGGGTTGGCAGAAGAGAGGATGACAATCATCTGTTTCTCCTCTGCATGTTCCTGCTGCCATCCTTGGCACACAATATCACAATAGTGGTGTTGTTGCCTGGGAACTTGTCCTGTCCTCACTCTGTTTACAATTTCCTCGCATTTATATAAGGTGGGAAGCAGATCAAGGAGGAGAGGCTATACTCTCTTGCCAGAAACCCTGGAGCAGTGGGTCAGATCAGGCCTCCTTGTTGTTGGTCAGGAAGGTGGCTTAGTTACTCCAGTCTAAAGGTGAGGGAGCTGGGTTGATGGAAGACCCTCAGGACTTCAGGTCCAAGAGGGTTTGAGAAACAGGAACCACAGGAGGGAAGGTGTTTGCCCAGACCACTGGAGCTCTTGGCTCCAGACCTTGTTTGGAAATACAAGCAAAACCAGAAGGTACTACTACTTAGAGTAAGCACTAAGGATTATAGAACATTAGCACTTACCTTGAGCCATTCCAGAGACTTTAGGAAATGGGCTCAAAGAAAGAGGAGAGGCCAAGCTTGAAGGCTGGTTGATAATTATGGGACCCAGGGCAAGTTAACAAGGAAGCTTCCAGGCAGGAGTGAGAAAAGGTAGTGTGACTTTATTTCACCTAAGAGGAGGGAAGAGGCAAGGCATGAGTCAAATCCTTTTTGATTTTTGTTTGATCATCCTTAACTTCTCAATTTTCAGATTATCCCTGCCTACTGACAAGTTGTAGAGTCCTTGCTACTACAAAATTTATAAATTGTCTGCAGGAGGCCAGGCACTGTGCTGGGCAGTGGAGATTGTCCTCCAGTTGAAGGTTAAGGCTTGGCCTGAGCTTGGTCTGATATAAACTGCTGATGTGGTTTCTCTCTGGAAAATTCTAACAATGGTCTCTCTCCTTAGGAGGCTCAAGCCTAACCAGGGAGATGACATTCACTTCAGAAAACCTGAGATATAAGTGAAACCAAATTTCAGAAGTGGCAGGAATTCACTGTGGCCTGGGTCAGGTGGAACTGGAGCTGGGTCTCACAGGGTGGGGTAGGATTTGGGTTGATGGAGGGCAGAGAAGGGCAGTGCAGAGAAGAAACGTGAAGCTAATTGGATATGGGTCTTTGAGGGCAGGGGTGCCATATATATATATATATATATATATATAGTGTGTGTGTGTGTGTGTGTGTGTGTGTGTGTGTGTTGCTGAACTTATATGGAGCCTGATACACTGGGAGTACTCTATAAATGTTTGTTGAATTGAGAGATATTTTTGTAACACTTTAACTAGGCCTGATACGTTAAAAAGCATGTGAAAGTGCAATCCATTACTAGGAAGAAAATTTTAGTGATGAATGGTTATGCATACACAAGGAAACTGATGGGGGTTCTCTACTTTCTCATTGAGTTGTCCATCAGTCCACTCCCAGGCAGCGGCAGGATCAGGGCGCTCCTCCTCAGACCTTCCTCCCTTTCCCCTCAATCTGTTTACCTCTCTGCTTTCCCCATGTCCTGGCTCCCAGTCAGTTCACTCTGGCTGATTTCCCTCTCCATGGACTTGGGATGGGATGTATGGTCCTATGTTTCACAGGAGGGGGCTTGAGATCCCTCAAGCCCATTGATATTGACAAGAAAACAATGTCGAGATGTTCTAAATCAGTGGTTCTCAACCTTCTGGCCCTTTAAATACAGTTCCTCATGTTGTGACCCAACCATAAAATTATTTTCGTTGCTACTTCATAACTGTAATGTTGCTACTGTTATGAATCATAATGTAAATATCTGATATGCAGGATGCTCTTAGGCGACCCCTGTGAAAGGGTCGTTCGACTGCCAAAGGGGTCGCGACCCACAGGTTGAGAACCTCTGTTCTAAATAAAAATTACAGCAGCCAGAGAGTAAGAGAGAGAGAGAGACTTAACAGTTTGCCTGTTAATAGCTGTGTACCAGCTCTGACAAAAGACTGATCACATTTCTGTACGTCTATTGGAATTTGGGATTAATCTGCAGGTGACTATTTCTAAGATTATATAAAAGAGAGAATAGCCAGCACCATAGAGCCCCAGGGCCTCTGCTTATTTGCCTATGAATTTTTCAATCTGCTGCCCAGAGCCACTCCACAAGAGCAGACATTTCTTTCTTTCTTAAATATATTTTTATTGATTTCAGAGAGGAAGGGAGAAGGAGAGAATGATAGAAACATAAATGATGAGAGAGGACTCACGGATAGGCTGCCTCCTGCACGTCCCCACAGTGGGGATCGAGCCCGCAACCCGGGACCCCTCAGCCTGCAGGCCGACACTCTATCCCACTAAGCCAAACCAGCCAGGGCCAGACTTTTCTTTCTTGCAGACTCTGCCGAGCCTACCCCAGAACTAGTCCTTCCCTTTGTCTATAGCTAATGTAAATCCTTACATCTTTCTCCTTCCTACTTGGTGTATAAAAATGTTAGGGGAGGATTAAGGGGAGAAAAAAAAAAGGAGACATATATAATACTCTTTGTAATACTTTAAGCAATAAAACAATTAAAAAAATGCTTGCAGAACTCAGGGATGGACATGATGTCTTTTTAAAACTACCTGCTGGTGGTTTAGATTCCATGGCTCAAGACCAGTTTCCTCTTCTTCTTTCTCCTCCTTTTCTTCCTTCCCTGCAAGCAATGGCAAACCCTTTCTTTAAAATAAGATAAAAAACTTTCAGCCATGTGTGGACGAAAGGGGCCACATGCTGACCTGACAAGCTCAGGGAAGGCCTGTATGGTGGTCTTGCAAACTCAGAGACCTAAAGTAACCACAAAGGATGGTCTGAAATTAAACTTTAACTAAAAGCAGTTATGGTGGGCAGTTACGTCCTAGGCGGGTATCTTCACTGACAAGGTCAACCTTTACCTTAACTGAGCCTATCTGTCTTTTTGCATCTATGATAACATACCCTTGAAATGTCTGGGTAACTTGTAACTTCCCTTTTTCTGGAGCCCCTGGGGCACCACCAAATGTGCTGGGCCCCAGGACAGATACCACAAATTCCTTCATTATCATGTTAATTGATCCTGCACCCACCTAAGTATGTGTCCATCATTTTACTTTTTATCCAATCCAGGGGTTTCCCTGCTTTGCTTATCCCTCCTCCTTAATCTATCACCAATGAATTTCATGTAACCCACCTATGTCCCTCCTTTGATTGCAAATCTATAAATACAAATGTAACCCCGCCAGTCTCCGGAGCAGAACCTCAATTCGTTGAGGTTCTGCTTCCCGGCATTTGTCAACAGTTTGGCTCAAATAAACTCACAAAAATCATTTACAGGTTTCAATGGTTTTTTTATGTTAACACATGGAATTTAAAGTATTTTTCTTGTTTGTTTCACAATATAAAACACACCTAAGACAAAGTTCTCTTGTTAATATTGACAACTACTTAGAGCCCATCTCCAGAACATTGTGTCAACACAGTCTGATTTACAAAGGCCTCCCTCCAGGAAGGAGAGAAGGGGAAAGTGGGGGAAAAATACCATTCTGCCACGGTTATTTGGTTTTCCCCCTCCACAGTGTACTTAGTAAACATTTGGAAATATTTGTTGATTGAGTCCATTACTCATGTTGCTCTAGTAACAATCATTTGTTCATACATACATTCAGGGAACATGAGTGCCCAGTGCTTTTCAGGTGGTGGCTACCAAAGGAAGAAGGTGTGATACTGCCTCCGAGGAGTTCTCACGATACACATACACCCATGGATAGCTAATCCAACAGCTCCATTTTAAAGAAATGGAAGTTAAAGTGCAGGGAACTGTGGAAGGCCCCCTGCCAGGGAAGGCGCTGGCTTTCTTTTAAATTCATGTCAACTGAACCCATGATGAAGGCAGAGCCTTATCTTGGGGGCATGTCTAACCAAGAGGTGGGAATGCCTCAGTTGACCTTCAAAGCCAGGTGCCAGGAAATGGGTTCTTATTTAAATCTAGTCAAGTACCAGGAATGAATGTGATTCGGACCCACCCGGAGGTGACTATTTAGGAGGAAGCTACAAGAACGTACACATTCCCCCTTCTATTTACCCTTAGTAAGACTTCCTAGTATTTGGCTATAAATAAAAGTTGCTGTGCTGGCTCTGGGCCCTGTTCATCTATCAGAGAGCAGAAGCCACACCTGGTCCCAGCTTTCCTCTATTTCTGTCTCAGCCTTGTTTTATTCATTTTTCCTTAAAACCTTGTCACGTTCTATTCAAGATTTCATTGACCCCCGAGTTCTCTCTCTCTGCGCTGGTGGCAAGAAGAGAGAACGCCATTTCCCCCATATCTGACGCCATGAACAGGGATCCCCATAGGGAACAAGATAGGATTTGTTCAATATCACAGGCTAGCATCAGTTAGCCTCAAAGCAACAGGACAAACTCATTTCCTGACTTGCTAGAATTTCTGTTCGTGTGCAGTTGCCTGGCTGCTGCATGTGCAAATGTGGTGAACTCTAACAGGAGAGAGGGGACATTCAGAATGAGGTGGCAGCCCACAAACACCTTGGAGGAGCCAGAAGGAAACGTCCAATCCAACCATGACTGCAAAAAGCACCATCAGGGAATTTGCATTCTTTTTTCCCCTTTGAGCTTGAAATGAGGAAAAGTGAGCCCAGAAAACCCAAAATGGACATTTTCACAGATGTTTATCAGATGGGCCAAAAAGCCTGTGTTTACCC